GGCGTTTTTAGCGGCGTTTTGAGAGTAAATGCCACTAACTTTAAACATATATATCGGCGTTTACACTTCAAACGCCACAAAATAGTAACTTTAGTAGCGTTTTTATGCAAAACGCCGCAACAGAGTAGTACTTTAGTGGCGTTTTTATACAAACGCCGCAATAGGTTCATCCATAGTGGCGTTTTTTAAACAAACGACGTGACATAGTAGTACTTTAGCGGCGTTTTTATAAAAACGCCGCAATAGGGTTCATATATTATGGCATTATCAACAAACGCCGCAACAGAGTGGTACTTTAGCGGGGTTTTTTATACAAACACCGCAAAAGAGTAGTACTTTAGCGGCGTTTTTATACAAAAGTCGCTATAGACACGTACTTTAGTGGCGTTTTTATTCAAACGCCGCTATAAATACATTCTTTAGCGGCATTTTTATACAAACGCCGCTATAGACTAGTACTTTAGTGGCGTTTGTGTTTACAAATGCTGCTAAAGTTTAAAGTTTACAATTCCCGCATCCTTTTTCATGTTTTCCCTTTCACCTATTTTTTTCATTCTGGCTCCCTCCCTTTCTGAAAAATAAAAATGTTCTATCTTCTCTCTTCCCTCTCTACTTCACCACCACTTAATTCAAATTTCCTGTTTCACCACCACTACACCTCTCTTAGCGCTCTGCCTCCAGTGCCACTACTCTGGGTTGCTCCCAATACATTTAGACCAAAAAGTAAAACGAGATATAAGTCCAGAGGGAACTGGACTGAAGTCGAACAACAAGTTCCTCAAGGCTCTCCATCTGTAAATTCTAAAACTGTTTTTTCTATCTAATTAGTTATACGAATTTTTCTTCTCTTTCAAATTAGGGTTTTTACCTCTCTTTTTCTTTTGGAAACTGATTGCGATAAATTGATTGTTGGTTTCGCTCGCGCTACTTCTGCTCTTGTTGATTGGTTTCGCTCTTGCTTGAGTGTTATTTTTTCTTTTGGCAAAATGGCTCTTCGTCAAACCAATTTGAATCCTGAAAGGCCTGGTTAGTAAATTTTACTATATTTTAGGGTTTTTTATATGCCCATTTCAGGTTATGGAAGTGGTTAAAATTGTTGGCTTGATTTGTTTATTTTTTAGTGATTTTAGCCTGCGTTGGAAATAAAAATGCTTACAGTTTATCTATAATTCATCCTTAATTCTTATTAAGTTTTGCTATAAATTAGAAATGACTATAGCATATAATATGTTTAGTAGCAAATAGATCAGTACTGAGATAAGCTTTAAGTGGTTTGTAAAATTATCATGTCAGATTCTGCTACAGGATTGGGGTTTTCGTGTTAGAAAGTCGGGTTTTGAAGCTTTGTAGAGAAATTCTTGAAAATGTGAATATGGGTATGTCTAAATCTACCCATCTGGAGACATTGGTCATAGATAAGTGTAAATCGAGATCCTTTGAGCTTGATGAAGCTCTGGGTTTTTTCAATTTCATGATTTTAATGAGAAACTTGCCCTCAATTGTGGCTTTCAACCATCTGCTCGGAGCAGTCTCCAAGATGAAACAATATGATATCGTTATTCTACATTTGCAACTGTTATTCTATGTTTACATAATGAAAGATGGGAAGGTAGTATAGTTGTATCTTTCCATTTGTTATTTTCTCTCATAAAAATCTCTTTTTGGTGCCTCAGCCCTGGAAAACCTTAACAACTCATTAGTAATTTGATGTTACTTTATCTTTCCATGTCTGAAAATCTGTTGGTCACTGGTTTGTGTACTTTCCCATTGGATCAAGCGAAGCATAAATTTAATTTGAGCTTCTCACTGGATTTTCTAATTCCGCTGATTGATTTGTGTCAGGTGTTCCATTTATACTAAAGGCAGGGAAAGCTTTGAATTCAAGAAAGGCGGAGATACACATTCAATTTAAGGAGGTTCTTGGGGATATATTCCAATGTATGACAGTAGATCTATAAGATTATTTGGAACTTCATTTATATGATTGCTTGTTTCAGTAGAGCTGCAACTCTTTTGAAGTATTCTGACATTTTATTTAGGTCAAAAGCAAGGAAGAAATGAGTTTATCATACGCTTGCAACCTTATGAAGCGATGTACATGAAACTAACAGTGAGTTCGCTTAACTCATCGTATCCATCTGAAAACTATTAGAGCTATAATTTCCATGTATGCAGAGTTTCCTGCTTGTAGAGTTTCCTTTATGCATCAAGAGAAATCAATAAGTTCTGCTATTTCTGTCCTAAATTTGAACATAATATATTTCAGAACCAACAATTACCTTTTCACATAATCGTACATCTTCAGTTGTCGATCGTACATATGTTCCGATTCTCCTTGTGGAAACCTTTAGGCACTGTTGAGAACCAATCCTGAATACTTGATGCCCCTTCTTCATTTTATCATATTTTAGAAACATCCATATCGATGTTCTAGATTTTACTGATATTCGAAGTGGTGTTCTATGAAAACTGCTCATGCAGCCAACCATGAGTGTCAGGATCCTGCGTTTTTAGTTTAAGCTAGGAAACCGTTGCTATAATTTATTGCAAGATCTTTATGCATGTATACTGATTTGCATTTTGCTTATGTTGTAGGTGAAGCAGCCTGGTCTAGAGTTCTCAACGGTGCAAAGTGAACTGGATTTTTCATACAGGCAACACTATCAAGGTGTTACGATCTCAGAAGCTTATGAACGTCTTATTCTTGACACGTACGATCCTTTCCTTTCCTGGTCGTCGAAATATTCTTATTCATAATCCTTTAATCTTCCTGCTTGAAACGAAATGCATCATTTTCATCTGAGCTTCAAACAATAGGGTTTAAGGTGCTGAAGTGATGATCGATGGAATCTGTTTATCGTTATGCATGATAAGGGGTGATCATTAGCATTTTGTACGTAGAGACGAGTTAAAGGTAAGAATTTATGATGTGTATGCTTGGGAAGTTTAACCATTTGCGACCATTTTCATACTTGTGTTGGGATGTTGGTTGTATTTGATATGTTTAACCATCAGTTAAAGCTCTCTGTTATATGCATGTGAGCTTATTTGCAACTATTTGGTTTATATCTACCTGTAAATATTTGTTCCCTGTTATTATTGTATTTTACGTTTTCAACTTTTTTTTGACATGGCAACTCTCTTTTCTTGTGTTATAACTTTAATAATTCAATCAATATGTCTTTGACAGATACACCCAGTTATGCTAGATGTTGGTACTAACAATCTAAAGCTAATTGACAACCACTTTGTGAGTAAAAATGTATTAATTACTTTGTTCTTATGTAGTTATTCCCTGCATAGACTGGAACATATGAAATGCTTTCTGTTACTTTTTTTAACAGATTGTTAAGATTTCTTTTGACTTTTTTTTTGGGTTTGTATAGATTTAGGACTAAGACAACCTAGGTTAGAAGGGGAAAAGTTTCTATCAATTATTGATGAGTTCATTGAAGCAGTTTTAACACGTTGGCCTAAGGCTATTATACAGGTTTCTTTCTTTCAGAAGTGAGGTTTTTATTTTATGCTTGTAGCATGATGTTTATTTAATGGCTTCCCCATTCAGGATTCCACATCATAATCACTATTTTAATCTAGGAAAACTTAGTTTAGATTTCTGGAACGATTTAATTGCTTAGGTATCCTATCCTTTGGCCTGCTCTGAATAGTACTCACATTTTTGCATCAAAAATTGTGGGTTGATATCGAAAGTTATGGCGTTTAATTTGTATTTTCTCAAAACTTGTTCTTTTACCTTACAGTGTTAAATTTTGTTCACAGACACCATATTTGCTTATGGCGTGACAAGCAGTGGGAAGACTCATACGATGCATGCAAGAAACAATTTGCTACTTCGTTATCTGTTTCAAGTGAAGCATTGAAGCGCGCAAGGAGTCTTCTTGGTGAACTGGAGCTAGGGGATTTATTTGGTGAATTTCTAGTGAATAATATTTTTTTAATTGAAAGTGAAAGTAGCTAGACTAAATTCTAAAGAACAATATCAAACTACATTACTTTTAATTTTAATGTTTATAAATTTTAATTTATTTTGTTTAAATTTATGGTTGATGTCAATTAGATAAAGCTACATGATAATAAATTTAGGTGATGTAGAGAAGAAATGAAATATGCAAAACATAAATTAATCTTAGAACAAGAACGATAATTAGCGGCGTTTGCATCCAAAAACGCCGCTATAGATCTGAAATTTTACGGCGTTTATTCCAAAAACGTCGCTATATATCTTGACCTTCTGCAGCGTTTGTTCCAAAAACGCCGCTATAGATCTAACCTTTTGCAGTGTTTTCTCCCAAAACGCCGCTATAGATCCGACATTTTGTGGCGTTTTCTATAAAAAAAAAGCCGCTATAGATCTCGACCTATTGCGGCGTGTGTTCCAAAAACGCCGCTATAGATCTGACCTTTTGTGGCGTTTTCGGAAACGCCGCTATAGAGCTCGACTTATTGCGGCATTTGTTCCGAAAAACGCCGCTATAAATCCGACCTGTTGCGGCGTTTTCTAAAAAAACGCCGCTATAGATTTAGACCTATTGCAGCATTTTTTTTCCACAAACGCCGCTAACTTTAGCGAAGTTAGTATTGCCGGCGCTTCTTGCGGCGTTTTTGCTATCGCCGCGTGTGCTTTTAGCGACGCTTAAAAACGCCGCTATAATACTTAAAAAACGCCGCTAAAGAACATTTTTGTTGTAGTGACACCATCCGACCCTCCAAACCGATTAGGATCCGAACCAATTTTTTTAAAATTCGATTTTTTGACTAGGTGAAAAAACCGGATTAATTTATATCCGATCCAAATCGATTTTTTATCCGACTTTGTACATGTCTACCCATGACCCATGATGGACAATAAATATGTCGTATCATCAACATCATTCACAGGGCTTGGCTCCTCCTAATTTGTACATTGGAAAGGAAAATGATAGAGGGATTCATTTCTTTATTTTTTTTTAAAGATAAGATATTCAAGATTAAAAAAATAGTTAATTAAAGTAGAATAATTATTGTATAAGGTATCGGGAGCTTCTATGTATTCATATCCAAAAGCCAATGTGTACACAATATTCAGCACATTACATATACAGGATCAAAGCATGGGAAGGCTCAACATTTCAACAAACAACACTGCTTCTGCTGCCCCCTTTTCACTTTTCATCTCTCTATAGCTCTGCCAGAGAGACGGGACCCAATATACAGCTCCAAGTGTCCCACTTGATTAAGGGAAGCATGTAGCATTTTTCACTGCCACTCATCCATTATTCAAATTTAATCACCAATGGCTACTTCATACATTCCATTCCCATTGCTTGCTTTCAACATATATTATATTTATCCATCCATCATTATAAAGATGAGATTGCACTTTATATTGCATAGCCCCGCACCCCCCCCCCCCCATGATTCCAAGCTTTGTTTCTCTTATCAACAATCCTGCATTTCGTTAAAAACCGATGTTTTACCGACTCGTGGATAGCAAAGACATACAATTACGACATGGAACTACCTGTGCCCCCCCCCCCCCCCCGAAAGATTGGTTTGTGAATACACACCTTTTGATATGGAGAGCAACAGTAAAAACTGAAGAAATAACTTTTTCATCAAAGCTGCATATAGGCCCTTGCATTATTTAGATATCCTGCATGCACGTAAAGTATTTTGGAATATGAACGAAACATCTTGGAGGAATATACAGTAATATTGGAGAAAAACTGGAGAATTCATAATTATAAATCAGATGATAACTGAATCAGAATGATCAATGCCAAGCCGTCTACCTAATACAATAACCAGATTTGTGGAGGTACTCACACTCTAGTAAATGTTGCGAACATTCACCTAGTGTCCATAGTCACTATGAATGTCGGACAACCTGCAAAAACCCTCAGTATTGTAAGCAAGAATGGAAAGAGAAAACTACTAACAAATGAAAGCAGAAACTGCTTTAGTTTCCCAAGCAAAGTCTGCAAAAAAAATGTACAAAATAGGAATAGAGGATACCTAATATTTTTAGTTATGATGGTCTGCCCATCTTCAACTCCAAGATGACGTAAAGCCACTTCCTCCAGCTGACCATCTCGACATGCATGCTACAAAAATAGAACATAACAATAAAAATGGTATAACAACAGCTAGAACAGACCACTAAAGATGCAAGGGTACACTACAAAGGAAAAATATGCCATTTTTGAAGTACGACATTCAAATGATACGACTTCATGCAGCCACCTATTTGATCAAAAGAAATTTCTTTAACCAGAAACGCTTGGCTTGTGTTTTTCCAGTAAGTTTTTCCCGAAAACATAAGAAAACCTTTTGAACTTACATATGCACGTCTAGGAGGCATGAATAATAAATCCTCTAGAGAACAGTTATATAAACTTCATGATTTACATATCATCAAATCCATCAAACTAATTTAAACCATCAAGAAAAGTAATTTAAACTCTAGTGACGTGATTCCGATCGCAGTTAAAGTCTCAAATCTAGACAATCTGCAATGATCAACTTAACAAACACCAAGATCAATCTTCTCATGGTTGAAAAAAGTGACATCGTATCAAATACCACCTTTCCAAAATTCCAGCAGAAGAAAATTACAAATAAACTTAGGAACTTGATAAAGAATGTACTCCTCATTGCTTGAGGAGTCGATTGGTTCAAAATCTAGCTGCATTGATAACAAGGCCTCTCGATAGATGTTAAAATATTGTTTTGAAAATCTTTAGTATAAACAATAATCATTTCGTCTTCTGTAATTAAGTATCTGAATAAGACATCAAATGCCGAGTTTTTTCAAATGTTCTGAGTGCAAAAAAAAATTATTTTCCTATACTGGCCTCTTCAAATAAACGTCCAACTGTTAGATATCACAGCTGGGATTGGGTTAAGAACCAGCTAAATCATTATTCAACTGTAGTGAACAAGAGAGAAAAGGGTGAGGAATCACCACAAAAAAAAAAAACAAGATAGGGAAAAAGGAGAAGCATAAAATGATAATTTAAATCCACATCTAAACAGATTCGAGTTGACATGATCCAAAAAAAAAGGACATTTAAGTACTGAGAGAAGAAATTTATAGGTTTTGCAGTGAGTTAAAGAATGAATGAAAATTATTTACCTTGTAAAAACAACTATTACCAAAAGGACAGTTCCCATTTCCAAAGTTGAAGTGCTTGCAATTTATGGACCTGCACAGGTGAAGAAACAATAGAACAGAAAATGATTAACTAGTTAGAAAAGCAAAATTGCCATACAAATCTACAAAAACCTAAGTTCAGCATTTTCCCTTATGTTATATAGGTATACAAGCCTGAAGCTCAGATTTGTAACACTAAAGTGACTTGTGCTCATCACATTATGAAAACATGCTACAATGTAGTTTTTCTTTTAAATCCAACCGATTCCATCCTCCTTTAAGTATGTAGTGGAATCAGATGATCTGATTCACCCCATCATTAAATAGAATTTACAGATTATCCAAAGAATCCATTAATTATAAATATTACATACTTCTGACAACTTACAACTTAAAATCTAAATGCATGTGAGCAGGAAATATAAGAAACTTCGCAATCGCGGTGAAATTACCTCAATTTTGCCTTGTAGCCCTCAACAATCCGCTGCTTTTCGTCCGGAGTCCAATACCAAATGACACTTGGAATGACGAAATATGATAGCCTGCGACAGATTGGGCAAGCCCTCACTGCAGTATTGACATCCATTCCGGAGGAAGGAGAACTGCTACGCCAATTTCTAATACATGTTATGCAGAATGGATGATTACATTCCGAAAGAATTCCAAACTTACGCTCAGCTGCCGTGGGCTTTGAGAGAATACGATCCAGGCACACACAACATTCTATTTCTTGACTAAGTTTCAATGCATTAAGGTATTTTTGCTTCTTCTTGCACATTTTCATATGTTCCTCCCTTTGTTCAGGTCTAAAAGGGTGCAAAGAATTCTTTTCACAGGTGGGACACAAGTCTCCATGAATATGAGGACATTTTTCTCCAAGGGGGCAATTACCAGCTGCGGCAAACGAGCAGATAGAACGCTCGACCAGATTATTGCTCCTAGGCTCAACTGGTTCACCATTAACCGATAGATCCCGAGGCACAGATTCCAAATTCCCTTCTTGTTTGGAGAGAGCAACAGAAGCTCTACTGGAATCAGGAAACTTGGTAGAAGCAGCTGAAGATACAACCGACTCAGCAGATGCAGTTTTCGAAGAAGATAAAGGTACAGAATCAGGTTCTGTTGACGAAGATGAAGCCGATGGATCCGATTGTGAAGCCTTGACGTGTTCATATCTGCACCGACTACCAAAAAAGCAGTTACCTTTTTGATAGTATGTGCATATCTGCAATGACCAGGTAAGAAACGATAATAAGGTAACCAAAAAGTATCATCAATAGGTAAATGTACGCCTGTAAACGAACCATACATTTAATGAATCATTCGACGGAGAGTTCGTTTATTTATTAAACAAATAAACATGAAATTTTTTTTATTCATTTAATTAAATAAACGAATAAAAATAAAAGGCTCGTTCGTTCATTTATATTAGTAAACATTTGATAATTTGTTCGTTCATGTTCGTTTAAATTTATTCACATATGTATTTTTTTCATTTCACAATAGATTGTAAAAATACCCTAAATTGCTTAAATTTATGTTAGGTTATGTATGTTTATGTCTGCTTGCACTCGTTTGTATTTGTTTGTTTTCGTTTATCATTTTAAGGAATGAACATGAACAAAAACGAACAAGTTAAAATCTTTTAACGACACGAACTAAAATTCTGTTCGTTTAGTTATTCGTATTCTTTCTATTAAAGTTGAACAAACATGAACATACACTGATTCATGTTGGTTCGATTTATCTACAGACCTAGGTAAATGCAAATAAGAAGAAGAAGAAAGAAAACAAAGGGAAGGAAAGGGAAAGTTGGTACATTATTCGGAGGATGCTTCCAATTATGAGAAAATTCACAATGGTCCCCTTTGAGGCATGCGCCATGAGGAAAGAACTTGCAAAGAACTCTGGAATCATAACAAAAATTAAACAGTTACAAAAGCTGCAGCCCTACATCCAGATTGATCCACACATCATCCACAAAATAATGGAAACCAGGAAATTAGGTAATTCAAATTCAAATGCGTATGAAGCTAGCTAATAAAACAGTTAAAATTGATAATAAAAAATAAGTACAAACATTTTTCCAAAATTTCATTTCCCCAGCAGATAAACATGAAAGTTGGAAAAACACATGATAATCAACAGGTAAAAAGGGAAATGAATTTGAAGCAACAAGAAGGCAGAATTGAAAGATTAGAACATCACCTTTTAGGCATGGAGGAATTGCGATTGATTGAGAGAAAGCTTTGAAATCAAAATTATAAAAAGGTAGAGTGGGGGGTGGAGGGTGGGATTTGAAAGATGGGTGGAAATAAAAGAAGAGAAATAGAAAAGAAAAGAGGGGATCTGCGAAATTCAAGGTGGATTCTTTCGCTCACTGGTTTTTTTTGTAACCAATCTACCTTACATGTGATCAAAGTTTTCATATCACATTATAAACACATTGGATTGTTTTGTTTTGGCTGAGAGTTTGTTTTTCCGTACAATTCCATGAGTCAAATCTGCAAAAAGCCACTCGTTGTGTAATTACGGAAATGCCCCTCCTTTACAATATTTATGGTTTTGGCCCTTGTATTCTATTCGATTCCGATATTTATTCTCTATAATTTAACCTACCATAATTGGATCCTTCTACTATAATTAATTTTATGCATTTATCCCAATCATTGATTATTTTCTTTACTGGTTAATATGGAGTTTAGAAGGAAAAGTCGGGAATGTGAGATTAGAATAAAAATTATTAGAAAATAACTATTTTAAATAATAATAATTCTGTTCTTCAAAATGACCTAAGAAATTTTGGATTTTCTTTTCACCAATGAAACATTTTAATGCTGTTGCGCTGGACCAACAAGATTCAAAGACCCAAAACGGACAGCTGTTAGACGTTATTTTATTTATATATATATATATATATATATATATATATATATTGCATGTAACAACTCTCTCGTGTCATGATTAGAGCAACAAATGGGAAGTTTGAGGATTAGTGTTCGGCTTTTCAAATCGGTCATCAAGAAGCTCTCTTCAACTCATTAGAACTTGAATTGAGTCCATTCAAATCGGTTGTTGATCAAACTTTTGTCAAGTTAAACTCAAATAATTTACGATCGGTCTCACCAAATTTACAATCCTAGCCATGATAAGCGTTTTGATGTTTAAAGAAGTTAGAACTTATTTGTTATTGTTTTTGAAAATAATTGTTGGAAAATAATTTTTGAGCATTAACCAAACTATTTCAATGGTTTAGTGGCTTGTTGTTATCTTTTCAAGTCCTGAGCTAGAGTATCACATATGTAGAGGTATAAGCGATTATTGTGAAACAGTTAAGTGTCTTTGAACAAATATTACATTGCATTCACTAGATTTATAAAAAAAAGTATTTTTGAAAGAAATTTAAAAAATTTGAGATAAGATTTTAATATTTAATATTGATGTCAAAAAATAATTTTAAGAAGGTTCATTTTACACATGATGTTATAAAGTTTAAAATATATTAATTTAAAACATATCAATTTAAAACAAATCAATTTATTATTATAAATTATGAAATAACTTATCATTAATATTTTATACACAAAATATTTTGAAAAAAATATTAAAAATAAATACTTACACGTAAGCACGTTAATTCTGTGGTTCCATACAATTTAAATTAAATTCATTAAATTAAAAAGTATGAGACTAAAATATATTTTAATGCTTCACTGAATTCATAAAGTCATCTAAGTTATAATTTATAGATGAAATATTTCTAAAAAGATTAAATTAAAGTACTTATAAGTTATAACGATGTAATTACAAACATTTTAAAAATATTAAATTTTAATATTTATAGTGATATAAGTGCAAATTAGAAAGAAAAAAAACACTAAATTTAGATAGTTACACTAATATAAATACAAGCTTTATTAGTAACAATAATCATTCTTTTTATGTGCCTTTAGTAGTTACCAATAATATAATGTCATGTGTATTAATAAATTTTATTCAAACTAACAGTACCGTCAGTTTTTCTTTGCCTTACTTTTTTATCGCCTGTCACATCTTTACCTAGGGACGGGCATGGGTCGGGTCGGGTTTTTTGTCCACCCGATCCGACCCTAGAACAAAAGATCCTCTACCTGAGACCCGATAAAAATAAAATTTCACCCGACCCAAATCCGACCTGACATATAATTTAGAAACCCGATCCGACCCGATCCGAAATAATAAAAAAATATTATTTTTATTCAATAAAAATCGGGTCGGGTCGGGTATTTTCACCCTAAACTCAAAACTGACCCGACCTGAACCTGATTTTTTAAAAAAAAAAACCCGACTTAATCAAGTAAGGTCGAAACCCTTCGAATTCGGGTCTATTGCCCATCCCTATCTTTACCTAATGATCTCCCTAGTGAGTTGGTATGCCCCTTGTAATACCCTAATTTTATCCTAAAATAAAAGGAACAAAATCCAGGGACCAAACTAACAATTTTACCCATTTTTAATTATGGCAGGCTTTAAATGCGAAAAAAAGAAGAAGAAAGAAACAAGCAGAAACCCTCTCCCCCCCCCCCCTTTTCATATAAACCAGAAACAATAAACATTAAAAAGCTCTCTCCTTCACCTTTTTTTCTTTTTTTTATGCTTATTTTCTTTCAACTTTTTTTAGCATTAATATGTGAAATGTGGGAGGATCTTGGCCTTGGTCGCTGGGTTAGGATGGTTCGAACGGTGAAGTTGAGCTTTTGTTCGTCGATTTAAGATGTCGGTTTAGAGTGTCGGTATGTGTCCGGAGGCTGTTTTGGAGCTTTTTTCTGTTCGTATTTGCTTAGGTCAAAGGTCTGACCACCAATGGTGGTGGTCGGGGGTTGGTTCTCACCGATCTATGGCGTTAGTGTGTGTTCGAGGAGGCCTCGGTAGAGGGTTATTTGTAGATAGATAGGGAACCGAATAACATCGGTTTGCTCAGAGTAGGCCGGTTTACCTATGTTTGTATTCGGCCGTCGGTCAGAGTTTAGGAGAGGCCACCATGACGGTGGCCTGCATTGAAAGCCTTGAGGCTTTTGTGGTGAGTGTTGCCGTATGGTAAGTGGAGAAGAAAGAAAGTAGGGGTTTTAGTTTTTAATTTTTGGGTAAATCATACATTAGGTCCTTCATTTCTAATGCGCTTCAAGCTATTGTCACCAAAGTAAAGGGTTAATCACGGGTCAAGTCCCCTAGTTTTAGCATGTTTCACTTTTTGGTCATTATCGAGGGAAAATCACCTTTAGGCCCCCTGTATCTTAGCCTTTGTTCCACTTTGGTCACTCATTTCTTATTTATTTCGAAAGTGCATGCAGATTTTACTAACTTTTAATTTAGTCACTATTATGCTATGTTATTTATTTCAAGCTAACTACTAACTTTTATTTTATTACATTTTAACCATTGTTATTTATTTATTTATTGTTTCTAATATTCGATTCGACCTTGTGGTGACCAGATCTGGGGTATGATCCACATTATTATGGTTCGAACTTTCCTAACCATTAACCTTTTTTATTTTATTTTATTTATTTCATTTTATTTTTATATATTTGTTTGAATTATTCGATTCGGCCTTGTGGTGACCAGATCTGAAGTATGATCCATATTATTATGGTTCAAACTCTACTAACCACTAACTTTTTTATTTTATTTTATTTTATTTTTATATATTTGTTTGAATTATTCGATTCGACTTTGTGGTGACCTGATTCGGGATATAATCCACATTATTATGGTTCGAACCTTGCTAACCACTAATCTCTAACTTTTCTAACTTACTAACATTCTAACTTTTATTTTATTGTTCATACTAACATTCTAACTTTTTATTTTTATTGTTCTTACTAACTTACAAACATTCTAACTTTTATTGTATTGTTCATATTAACATACTAACTTTATTATTTTTATTGTTCTTACTAACTTGCTAACATTTTATTTTATTGCACAAACTAACCCACTAATTTTCTAACATTCAAATATTCAACGACCTTGTGATGACACACCCTAGGGGAATATCCACATTATTTATAGTCTGGGTTAAACGGTTAAAAACAACCCCCTAACTTTTAAATTTATGCAATTTATTTCCTTTTTTATTTATTTTTATTTCAATTATTTTTCTCGCACTTTAAATTCCAGTATTTTATTTTTCTGCTCATTAATTTTCCTACATTTTATTTCAGCCTCTTTTAATTTCCAGCATTTAATTTTTTGTAATTTCATTTTAAGCATCTTAACTTACACTTCATTTTATTTTGGTTATTGATTTTGCCTGTGGTATATTTATTCCTAATGTCTATACTTTTCACTATTTACGTTTCAACCTTATTTATTTATCCTCTTATTTGGCTGGTATTTTAATATTGGTTGTTTGTTTATAGAGTTTGCATGTTGGTCCTTTGTTTACATTAGTGGGCTACCGATGTTTGACTCATATTTTAGATTCAAAATCGAACTTGGTCATCTTTATTATTGTTACCCTTTTATACACATATATTCATATCTATATTATTATTCAAACTTTATTTTTTTTATATAAATCATCATTTTTTATATATAGAAAATATAAATTTTATTGAGGAAAATTTATAGAGACATCTTCCAACTACAAGGGAAAGTGTCTTTTCGAAGATTTGTAACACAAAAGTTTTATTGTATTCGATTGTCTTCATTTTTTTTACATTTTTTATTTTATTATTTTTCACATCGTTTTATTTTTATTTTGTCTTGTTTTAATTTATTTTCATTTTTATCTTTGATATGAGGAAAAATGTGAGGTAATGTCTTTTTGTAAGGGTAATCTATGGGAAAGTCTCCTAACTACAAAGGAAATGCATTCTCGAGGATTGTTCGCACAAAAAGACATTCTTTTATCTGAACATTTATAAAATTTAATATAATATTATACTCTTTTAAACTATATCATCCATAAAATTAAAGAAACACCATTTTGTGAGGGGAATCCAGGAAAAAGTCTCCTAACTACAAAGGAAGTGCATTTCAAGGATTGTTCATACAAAATGATGTGATTTCTCTTATAAAAATAATTATAATTTTTTGGGGTTAAATAAACAACTTTATTCTATAAAATATATTTTGGGCTCTTTAATTTTTTTGTACCCACTGCATTTATCATTTGTCATCAAATTTTTTATTTTCTTATTCACAAAAGCAACATTGTTTTTTTTTTTTTTTTGAA